TTTTCCTGATATTATGATGTGTCAATTAATAAATAATTATTGTTGGAGTGACTTACTTAAAAATTACATCAATTTTCAAACAATCTTTGATTTAAAAAGTTGTATTGTTTAATGCATTTTGAAGATACATGTGTTAATACAAATTAGATAACTGGATAAACTTTAACAAAATAAATTATTAAATTCCCAATTGAAGAACAAATTGTTTATATTATACAAAAGGTTTATTTTTTGAAAATCATATGAATAATTTTTAAAAATATGACGTGTAACAATTAATCTTAATAAAAGTTTCGACCCAAAATAGTCTCAAAACAAAATACAATAACGTGTATTGATAAAGGAACAACAAAACAATGTAATATTATTAACTTATTTTATTATAAATTTGGTATTAAACCACAAAGATCTTCAAAAATTAAAAAGCATAATTAGTAATTTACAAAAAAGTTAATATAAGATCAAAATATAAATATTGTTCGGGTAAAAGTTAATGTGCATAAATCAAAATACTTTTTATCTGTTCTGAATAATAAAAAGTTTGTAGTTTTTGCTTCAAATCAATAAAGCCATTGTAGTCATATTTGAAAATAACAAAATAATAGAATAACATTTTTAAAAACGATTTTTCGAAAGCATGTCATTTTGTTTAAAATATACCACAAAAAATTAAACAAGTACATTGAAAGTTAAAGTAAACTGTTGTAGAAATAATTCAATTTCATTATTATTGCAAAATTAATAACAATAAGTACTTTAAAATTTCATTAATTTTTATCATTTTTTTCACAAAATTGTAACTAAAAAAATGACGCTTTTATGAAACAAGTTTTTAAAAAATATCAAATTTTTAAATATTTTATTAAATTCTATAAAAGAAATAATAATAACAGACATAACAATAATTAATATTTAATGAAAATTAAGTTAACACATATCATATTCTCTTGTTAAAAAATAATAAATTATTTAATATAATATATTGATATTAATAACTTAATATTTATTTATGATAACATATTTTATTAATTACTTTGTACAAAATAAACATTATAATATTATAATATTATAATATTATAATAACTAAGTCTTATGTATATTATTACAAATAATTTATAATTAATTATAATTTTTATAAAGTTTAATATTTTTATTAAAAAGAACAAAAAGTTTTTTATTTTCAAATTCTACAACTAGTTTATATTAATTATAATTTTATATAAAAATTGGCATTAGGTGTAATAGTACTTCGCAGTTTGTGAACTAACGTTTTTTTTCAAACTGAAAAAAAATCACGTTTTAATATTTAATAATTTTTAATAACTTTATCTCCACTTTTGGGATTAATTTATTCAAACAAAATTATTAAAAAAAATCACAAACTGTAAAACTGAATCAAGTTCGAACAAAATTAATAAAAAACCCAAAACTTTGATTTTTTTGTCTTTGTCAAAAATCCAAATTATGATCAAAAATGCATTTTTTGTCAAATTTTGTAAAAATAGTTATTAAAGTACATTGTGAAAAAAACAAATAATATTAATCATAAATTAATAATGTTTTCAATTATTTACACAACAAAGTTATCAACACATTAAAACGTTTAAATAAATTAATAACCAACATACATAATTGTTAATATACATATATAGTTAAATATAGTTTTAAGTTGAATAATGACTGTTAATGACATTGTTATTTTCAAATATTGATTGTAATTTATGTGTTATTGATGTATAATTTTGTTAATATGAAAATAATCAAATATTATCAACTGTTACTTATTTCATTGTCTAACTACGTCAATGTTCATAATGATTTTTTAATCGCCTATTGTTGATAATTACATGTTAATGAGATATAAAATACAATTAAAAATTGTTTTATTTTTTAATAATACAACATACAACAGTAAACACGTGTATTTTGACAACATCACAACATTTATGATTAATTAATATAAAAAGGTGTATTTATTATTATTTTGAAAATAATTTATAAATAATAATTAATAATTTATTGTTTTTGTTAATCTTTTGTTTTAAAAAACAGCCTAAAAACGTAATAACTATAAACTATGTAAACATGTGAAATAAAATTAAATCTTTAAATGATAACACTAAAATAAAAAATATAACATTTTACAGCATTTTTATCTTTTGACTTGGAGCTCACAAGTACATGCACATAAAATATTAAAATCTTTTTTTCCGTATTCTAAATTTTAATAGTTATGAATTTTTAATTGAATCAAAAAACAAAAATTGTTAATTCTTTCATTGAGTTATAAAACCTGAGTATGTAAATCTATATGAAATAGCTTGTTTATCCAATTTTTGTGTTAAAATAATTATATTTTTTGTTGGTACGTCATATATTTAAGTGATCATAAAAATAACGAGAATCATATATTTTTAAACAAAATTTTATATAATTTAATGTTGATATTATATATTCAAACTGAAACAACAACTCAAATACAAATGAATAATTACAATTAATGCTGTATTTGTCTATTCTTATTAAGTTCAGATCATAAAATTTAAATATTTTGCCAAATTCATAAAAAACTGGTTATTACAAATGTATTGAAGTTGGTGAGAATTTTTGTTCTGTTATAAACATAGAGCATTAAAAAAATAATTTTCAAAAATTAATATTAAATGTATGTCGAGATATATAGAAAGTTACATCGAATAAAGAATCCTATGTTTTCTATTTATTTGTATTTGTATCATGTCATGTTTAACTATTGGTTTAAAGTTTTAAATGTAATATTCAATAAATTGTATAAATTATAATGCGATTGTGATTGTATATATTGATTATAAATTGTTTGCCTGAACAACCTTTTTATGTTTTTTATAAATTAATTAAACTTGAGGTTATGATTTAAAATATACAAGTTATGAATAAATCTATAGTCTATATTTATAGTTTATTTGGTACCTTTTAGATTATTACAATATTTCGAGAAGTTGTACAAAAGATATATCCAAATTGTTTGTTTTTTGAGTTTTACTTAATGTGATGTTTATATAAAATTATTGCTATTTTTTTGTCCCCAGATAACATTAAAAGACTGTTTTTATATTCAAACTTTAAATGATTTGTTTAATCATAAAAATATCGATTATTTGTATTGGATATTACAAACATTTTTGTTTATTTTTTTATCTTAAACTACTTTTTGGTTCAAAATTTTTAGTTCTTTTATTTTTAATAATGTTGTATACATGTTTTCAGTTAACCATATTATAGACAATGTTAATGTGATTAGTTTCAAAAATGCGATTTTGGTAAATCAATCTTATACTGCTTCCATTTATTTTTTTCTAATTGTTGTCTTATATAAAAAGAAAAAAAGCAATTTAATAAAACTTTTTTCACGCTATTTTCAATAATAATTACGTCTTTTTCAGGAAAAAAAATCAGTTAAAAATCAGTTAAATAACTGCAAAGCACTAATCGTTAATTAATAATCCGACTTTAGTTAATTATATTATATTTACTTTATTACTCTATAAAGTCAAGATTCAACAACAAAACACAATTTATCAAAACTTAAAAAGACCATGAAGACTACCCATCTTGAGATAATATACCAAGCCAATGTTGTGTTGTATATAGAAAAAGAGACTACTTTAAGAAATTATCGTTTTATTAACAAACGAGCACTTGAAGAAATTCGCTGTTTAAAAGTGAATTCACATTCCATTTATTTGAAGTACAACTTACTTTTTAATTTCTTTCCACTTCTTAACACACTTACTGGAAATTTAAACACAATGGTCCATACTTTGACACATAAGCAGATGAATCAAATCACGTGGTTTAATTGCTCTACTGCAGAAATATTACCAGAGGTTTTTGATGATATCATTTTAAATAAAATTATCACTATTAGATAAAATTTGACAGTTTCAGTTATGTTCAAAAACAAAGTCCAATGGTGAGAAAAGTAGTAGTGACGGTTGATGACAACGTCACATTTAAAAATATATAATTTCCATGTTTACAAAAACTTGTTATTAAAAAATCAGTGAATGACAAATTACTAATTAAAATTTTTGATATTTTTGCGACAAACCCGATGTTGCAATTGGAAGTTATGATATGTAAAGTGACGAAGTGGACATCGACGCAAATTCCAATGACAAATATCACATAATTTGCATCAAAAAACCCACTGACAACAAAGAAATTAAATCGGGCGCATGTTACAGACTAAAAATTGAAAACGAAGTATTTCCATATTTTAAAATGCCAAATTTCAATATAAAAAGTGTTGATGAAAAGTTTCTTGATCCAAATCACAGAAAAAGCATTCGTATTTTTTGAAGATAAGTGCTACTCGTTATATACACTCCATATTACTTTTGATCGAAATTTCGTTAAAAACATCGACTTGACAAATTTATTTGGGTTGTTACAGTTTTCAGTCTTTTTTAAAAAGACTGTTGAGACTACTATTACAATGCCAAACTCACAAAATAATATTTGCAACCTTGAGACATTCGAAATTGTTACTCCATCACACAATAAAATCACGTTTATTGAAACAGAGAGATGCACTAAATTAAGTACAGTGAACATCAATTGCGCATTTAATAATATTGCACTTGATTTACAAAATAATAAAGTACAAGTGGTGTTGATTAACACAGGAGATGAAATTGCTAAAGTTAATTTTCGAAGTGTATTTGAGCGTAACTGGTGTGTGTTTCGCGGTCTTTTTGATGTTAAAGAAATCACTTTCAGAAATGAAATATTCGACTGTCTCTTATTACCAATACAAATCAAAAGTTTGCATAAAGTTGTTTTTCAACTTTCGTCTTTTTTAATAAAATAAACCAAAGGCTAAGTGATATAAATTATTTCTTTAATAATAAACTATAAACTTAAAATTAATAATAATAATATATAACAGTATTTTAATGTAAAATAGTAAATCATACTATTTGTGATAAAAAATCAGCTAATAAAACGCCGAAAAATCGAATAAAATCAATTGAAAATCAATTTATCTAAAAATAAATAAATTTGTATTGGTTCTAAAATATAAAAAAATAAACACATATTTTCAAAATCCACGTATTGTTTATTTTTCTCAAATTTATAGATAATTTAAAAAAAGCATAAATACTTTTTATTCACAATTAAATTCAATGTCGTTACCATCATCTCGACGTTCTCCGAGAAATAGTCGGAGTAGAATTGTAGAAACCGAAATCGAAGGATTAAATCAGAGAACACAAGAAGCTATCCAACAACTTATTCAACAGCATTCTGAACATCAAAGATTTTTCTTTGAGTACATGGTAAATACACGTGGAGGGTTTGACTCGTTGTTCAGATTTTTGGGTTTGAATCCTTTAGTATTCCTCGCTATCAGACCAGTCGTTAGTGATATCTATACTACAAGAAGAGGACGGAATTTTTTACAATCCAGATGACAGATTTTTGTTGTTTTATCTATTTTTTCGTTACAACAAAATTATAAATCTTTGCATTCATTATATAATAACAAACTAAAAAATTGTTAAGGAAGTGAATGAAAGTGCTAAGCTGTTTAAAGTTGTCATGAAAGATTCATATATCATTTTTAATAATAAAAATTTTACAATGAACTAATGTGAGTGCTTTTGTTGATTGTACAATAACGCCAACAAACGTTCCAAGTGAAAGTTTTTCTTCTAAGATGTCGTTCTACAGTTGTAAGTACAAAACGTATTGTATTAAAATTGAAGTTGTTGTTAACTCTGTTACTGGGACTGCATGTTTTGTTTCAGAAGGAGAACCAGGTGCTTCTCATGACACGAGATTGTTAAAAAAACTTCTGATGATATTAACACCATGCTCAATGGTACTAAACTCATTGGCGACAAAGGTTATAAAGGAATTCAGTCGCTTATCCCCAATGGTTTTGTTTCAACAGAGTCTTTACTTTTGGAAAACAGATGTCTGGTTGAACGTTACTTTGGACGTCTCAAAACTGTTAATGCATTTGCCAGAAAGAAATACAACAAAGATACTGTTTTATACGATGATCTAATAACTTTATGTTGTTGTTTCTGTAACGTGGATATTGGAATCAACCCGCTTATCAACGTAGATCAGACAAATTATATAAATATTTTCGCAAATTTTGTGAATAAAATTGATGAAAGAAGAAAAAGCACAGAGACAGCAACAGAGTTTATCGAAAAAGACAACAATCTCAAATCTTTGCATTAGAAGAAGCAGAAAATTGGTCTTATTTATTTGAAGATGATCGTTATGATGGAGAAACAATATATACACCAGGTCAACTTGATGGTGATAAGACCGGGACGGAACCTTAACAATAAATGAACTGTTTTTGTCATTACAATTTGAATAATTTACTTAAAATAACGGGAATATTAAATGATCATAGGGTTATCATATTTAATTAAATAGATATCTAATTAATTGTTACAAAGTGAATAAGATCTAATTGTCTTAAGAAAAAACAAAACACAAACAAAATAAAAAGATTAAACTTAAAATAACAAAACAATTGAATATAAACTAAATATAATTTATGTTTTTGGAAATGGACTAATAGAATACTACTTATATTCGGGATATAACATTAACTTATAATTATTTATTATTTATTCATTTTATTTAAATCTAGTCGATATGTTTGTTGCATTTAATATGAAATTTTGATATTTAAATTATCTATTTCTACGTAAATAATGTAGAATCCATTATATTAGCTTTTGGTCTAATGTGTCATTAAAGTAAAAAAACAAAAACTTATAAATTGTGTTGGTCATCATATTGAAATCGTGATGTAATAAAAATAATTGAATGTACAGGGGTGAAAATGAAGGTATTAATTTGAAAGCGAATGTAATAATTTATGGTTCGTTTTCTTTTAATCTATTGGTCAAAAACAAACTAACATGTAAATCATTATATTTAAGCCATTTAATGCGACATAATAACAACAAAAAACAAATATAATTGGACAATAACCACTATTTCCAACACAGTCACGATTTTTGGAAAAGGAAAATATAGTTAATATTATAGTTTAAAAATTATAAAATTTATTATAAATTTCAACACAAGAAATTATAACAATATTAAATATTTAATATACATTTTATTATTCATGTTTATAATAAATTTATTGTTATTTTGTTATTATTCAAACAACACTCGACATAAAAATGATTTACGATACTTTGGGTTGTGTTTCACGGCCTTTACGACCGGCCTGCGTATGAAAAACACAAACCAAAAAGTAATAATGAGCTGCATTAACCATTCTGAACGTCAATAAAACATTTTTAAATAACTGCGTTGTTAATAAATAAACAAACCATAAAGCTAACACTCACTTACACATTAAAATACACTTAAAATATTTATCAAGTTGTAAACAGGTTGTGTTTTGTCTTAAACCCTGAAAATACAATTGAATAATAACAAATTTACTATAAAACACAGTCAACTATTTATAATGGTTTAATTAAGACAATTATTACTATTGATTCATATTCTACTGTAGCTGATTATTAAAAACACACAAATTCTAGATGAATTATTAATTAATTATTGATATAATTTTAATACTATAAAATTATTAATATGTTGGAATCGTTACAAAACATAATTATTGATTCTTTTCATTTTGTTCGCATTGTTTTTTATTGTCAAATTCAAATCAAGGGGGTTGGCTTTATTTACGAATTATAAAACCTATAAAAACGCCAAATTTAATATCAAAAACCCTAAAATAATACATCCGCTTTCATATTTATACCTTCAGTTTCACCCCTGTAAATAATCTAAATTGTTTTTGTTATTTTAAATATGTTTTTATGTAATACACGTTTTAAAAACGTTTTATACAGCAACTATATTTTCGATTTTATTAATTTTTAATATAATAATCGATATTTTTAATAATTGTTTCAATATATGTATCAATTGAAATATAAAATTTTTATTATTTCGTCTTGTAGCATTTATTTTAGATGAATTAAAGTGTTCGATTTAATTTTAAAAGAATATTTACTTGATTTCCATCATTTATTCATTTTATATGTTTTAAACATGAATATACATTAAATTAGTATGTGAAATAATTATGCATCTATTTTTTGTTAATATTAAAAGTAACCAATATGCAGTGTTTATTTTTTTTAAAAAATATTATTTACAATAAGAAATAATCATTTCAAAAAATTAAATCACGAATCAAAGTAACCATTTTATAACGAAGATATATTTTTATTATAAAACCAAATCAATTGGCTATGATCGTGTTTTTTTTCACCAAATTGCAGTTTTTAGTGTCGTCACTTATCACTAAACTATTTAATAGTTTTAAACACAATAAAACAAGTTTTATAAAAAAAGTTTTGTATTTATTTTTGTATTGCGGGTTTTTATTATATAAATTATCACTGAGATAATTTTTTATTGATATATAAACTTGGGCCATAAAGTCCGACACGTTATAACAGTATTTTTTTCTTTTGTTTTTCGGGATATTAATATATTTTGTCGAAATTTATACCTGTTTTACTTATCATTATTTTCCCTTATTTCGATTTTTTGCGTCTTATTTTTTGATTTTTAATTTTCTACTTACACTACAATTTCCTTATTTCAAAATCATGAATTATTTTGGTTTATAAAACACGAAAAATTAATTTCATACCCAAATTTTATACAAAAATCGCAAATTTAATCAATATTATAACATTTAAAAAAATGAAAATAAAATTATTTTTTTCAATTTGTTGATTTTTACGATAACAACGAAAAACACGACTTAATTATAATTCTATTATTAAATTAAACTAAAAAGTGTATCGTAATTTTATATGGAAACACATGAAATTAATCAAAACACCACAAGTAACAAAAATTTTTATTTTCGTTATGTTGAAAATATTAAAATATTAATTATAAAAATGTAAATATATTATAATTGATTAATTTTGTTTTTATAAATAAAATATAGGTGATTCGAAATACTAATTTAAATAAAAATAATTTTTTATAATAAAATAAAAATTAACAATTATCACTTGTGTTTATTTGACTTTTATAATATTTAATCATTTCATTATTAATTTATTATAGAAGTTGTTTAATAATGATATGAAAAAACAAAGCAAATTACATTATTGTTACTTGACAGAAATATATAACAATAATGACAGTTGTAAATGAAACACTTTTATCAATTATTGTGATTATAATAAAATGTATTATAATTATTGTTTTGTTAAACAACAATTATAATACATTTTATTATATTTTTGTTAATGCTAAAAAACTATTTTTACATTTCAAAACAAAGTAGTTACTTTATTTATAATTTGTGAAAACAATGAATGTTTTAATGAACGTTTTTGTGGGATGAACAAAAAAATAATTGAAGAAAAAACACATCAAAAATAATATAAAAATTATAAATGCTCATAACATTTAGCTCATTTCCCGTTTTTCTTGACATAATTTATTAATTATTTCAATAAAAATTTTAAAAAATAGCAGAAAAACAAATCCGAAAGTCCAATACGTCGGACTTTGTGTCCGGAGTTTACAAATAATTTTGACATTTTTGTTGTTTGGACAATTTAAATATAATTATTTGTTTTGTTAAAACATCTCAATTATTTATTTCAATATAAAATTTAGATTGTTTTATAATATGCATCAATGTACCTGATTCAACAACAAGAAAATGGCAACAAGTCATGGACATGACGTGAATTCGGATAATGACACTAAATACAAGAGTAAATTTTATGTACTGGAATAAAATTATTGTCAAAGAGAATAACACTTTTGAATTTTTTGTTAACATACAAATTTTTTTGAGTTTGTTTTGAATTATTTTTTTGATAAAGACAACACAAAAATAATAACTTTTTGTAAATATCAGTGGAAAGTAAAAATACATAATAAACAGAAAAAACGTTAGAAAACTCAGTAAGTCATATAATTAATAAAATAAATGAAATTTATGGTCTACATAGTCGGTATTAAAAAAAATTAATTGTTTCAAAATGACTATTGTATTATAATTTTATATGTTTTTTTATAATTATCACTTATGTGTTTATGCTTCACAATGCAATATACGTTTCATTTCAACTTAAAACCAATTATTTTTTTTATCGTTTTATGTATAAAAACATATTTATTTGTTTCAAGAATAGAATGTTATGGTATTTTACCAGTATTATTATTTTGCCTTATTTTACGTTTTTGGTATAAAATTTTATATATTTTTTCATTTTTTTACAAATTTATTTGTATTTTAGTTCACGATTTGAACTCGTTATTCTATTTTCATATTACTATAATTGAAATACATTGTATAATATAATTATTTTCAAAAAAAAACACTGCTCTTTTTAGCAGTATTGATTTGTTGGAAATTAAGTACGTCGGCGAGTTAAAATACAATCGTTAGTTTCATTCAAAAAACTATATTTTTGTCGTTCTATTTATTTCAATTTATAATTTATTTAAAAACAGATTATACAAATTATTGTTCAATTAATTAGATTAATACAATTTGTTTTATTCAAAACCGAATAAACTGTAATTAACCCTTCGGGACAAGAAAAATCAAAATTTGTAAAAAAATAAAAATCTTAGTCATTTGTAATGTAAATGTGACCTTTTTTCTTTAATTTTTTCAAAAAAAGCCAGACACCCTGGAACGACGGCTCTAGTATATTTTTATGGTAAATTGTTATAAATTATAGTAAAAAGTGAATTTTTTGTTGAAGTTGGGATGAACAAAGGTTCACTTTTTTGCTTGATCTTTTCAGAAACAAGTCATAGTTCAATGGAAAAGTCGGTTCAAAATTTTATTGAGATGTCTACAACCTATTACAATAAAACACTTAATTATAAAATATAACAAAGAGATAACTGTAACATAAAACATACTGGTCCGGAATATTCAAAATCTATTGCATCATAAAATAACAAAGAAAAAATAATAAAGCATAGACTTTGAGGTGTCTTGAAATTTCATTATGCAAT